TAGACAAGATGAAAACTATTCAGTGGGAACTCTTTCTTCCCCCACACACTCTTAAACTAAACTCCATAATGAAACCTTGTAAGCCAGTCACTTTGTGCCTTTATAGCCCTCCTCCCCCCTATTTTAGGTAGCCAATGTCTAAGTTGCCCATCTCTATCTACCCTATGTACAGAGGGGAATGTGAAGACTCCGTCCCTCTCTATTGGTATTTTGAGTTACTACTTCCATGAGTATAGGTGAAGGTCATCAAATTGTAGCAATTTACCCTTGTTTCCTTTATTAAATTTTATTTTATTTTATTTTAATATCTTCCTCTAGCCGAGTTCTGATTATCAAGCCACTGGTAGCTGGTGGTGGCTGTGTACCGTGGAATCAATTCCAACTCATAGAGACGCTGAACAGGGTTTCCGAGGCTGTAAGTATTTATGGGAGCAGAATGCCTCATCTTTCTCCCGCGGAACAGCTGGTAGTTTCGAATTGCTGACCTTGCAGTTAGCAGCCCAATTCATAACCACTACGCTACCAGAGCTCCTCATCAAGCCACTGAGGCTAGGTCAAATGGGTACTGTCTGCAAGTTCGGGTGTTCTTGCACACTTCATATCAGCTGGATGCTTCACTCTCAGCTCCAGCGCTCTGTGGCGATATCCTTGTCCATGGGCTCAGGTGTCCCCAGGTCTCACCACACTTTGGACTAACCAACCCTTCTTTTTCTCTCTCTCATCTCCAGGTCAATAGGAGTCAATGGACTGTGATTGAACTAAGCCCATTTCTTCATGGCTGCCTTTCCCCCTTTTCCACTCACCAGTAGACCAATGTGGTCGCCAGCAACTTTACATACCTGTTCATGTGTTCCCTTTGAGTTTCAGTCTTAGAGGGGAGTTTGTCCTGAAGAATCTTGATTGCTTGCCTTAATGGCTTCCGGGTAAACAGTTTGCTTATTCTTGTAGTAGCCAGTCATGCTGACATTTTTGTTTAGGGTTTTTCCTGATGGTCTTTCTTTGAAGATGTATCTTCTGTCACTCTAACTGTTCCAGGCTGGTCTGCTTGTCATTGCTAGTGGGAATGTCCCACCTCAGAAGTTTCTGTATGGGATTCAGGATTCCACCTAAGGTCCTATACTCTGCAAAGGCTCCACAAGAAGCTTATTTCACTGAGCAAGTTTTAGAACCCCTTTTA